ATATCATTATTCCCCAATACAGAGAAGCTCAAGAAGAGCCTGCTGAAGCAGAGTTCATTCAAGCATTACAACTTAAAGAAACATTTGATAAAGAATACATCATAGAAGATTTTTTATCTCCAGAAAATAAAAACATCAGAGAATGGTATGTAAAAGAGTTTGAACCTAGATTAGTAGAATTGTTTCACAAACGATTTAACAAATGGAGAAAAAAGGGAAATAAAGGAACATGGTTTTTCGATTGGCTAAGAGACACCTTAAGCCAACATAATATCCCTATTCCTGATTTTGAAATAAATACACTAGAAACTCAATGTACAGTATTTAATACTACTGAAGGAAATACAATTAAAGCCATACATCCTCCTGAACAAAGCTTGAAAATACAAGGAGTTGCTACTATGGTATCAGCTACTAAAACTCCTGCTACTCCAGAACAAAATATAGGATCCTCATCTTCAACCCAAATGGTTGTGTATGAAACAGTAGCTACACCATATAAACTCAATAATGCAAATATAGCTCGTATAGAATTGCTTCCCCATATAATTGAACAAAATAATTATACAAATCTCTACCTCCATAAACTTGGACAACAAACTAATAGAATAGAAAACTTATTACATCCTCCCATTTATAAGGAGAAAAAACAGTTATTTTTTAAACCTCTTCCTGACTTGAATAAAGAAAAATTTCTTATAGGAGATGATAATACAACACTTATGGATCAATTAATCTCCAAATTATCCAAATTAGAAATAAAAGATCCCAAACAAACAATTGTTTTACCAGACAATGATAAAGGAAAAGCAAAAATCCCTGAACATGATAATATGACTCTACAAGAAGAAATACTTTTGCAAATCAATGAAACCATGGAACCACCAATTGCCAACACAATAAAAAATATGCAAACAGCGTTTTCTGAAATTCAAATTACTCCAGATATTATAAATCGAATCAATTACAGTAAAAATTGGCAACCAATAAATGCCCGACCATATTATAAAAGACCAACCCCAGTGTCACCTCTCAGATCTTCAAATGTACCTGAATACTTGTTACAAACTCCTCCTCAAAGTCCAATACAAACTCCAAGTCCGGCGTTTTCCCCTGCAACATATCCAAATAAACAACCATTTACTTCTGCCAAATCAGTCTATGTAGACACAGCCTTCCTCTCAGACATACCTATTTCTGATACTCATGCACAACTTGACCCAAATAAAATAGCTCCCCTTTATCTTATCAACCATCTAAATCCTTCATATGGAATCAAAACTCGTGAATGGTATGAAGCCATTCTCATGGAAACCGGTTCGGTTTCAATAGTCCATTTCTACCAAGGCACAACTAAAGTATATCCCTATTTTAAATTTCAAATCAAAAAACTACTTTCTTATGATGATTGGGGATGCAATCCCCTTCAAGGGAAAAAATTATTAAACCCTGAATTCCAATATAAATACTATAAATATGTTGAATATATCGATGCATGGCACAAAGTGTTCTTTTACCAGAATCCCAATAATACTCATTCCTGGTATTTACAATTCAAACTTCCCATCCTTGAAAGATTCCCAAATTGGTTTCACCATTGGTTCTTACTATGGGGATCACAGACTCAAATTCTACCTGATAAATTTCAGGCATTCCAGACTAAATTTGCACAATATAATACTTGTACCGCCCTAGAAGATTTCCATCTTTATTTCATGGCAATCTATCAGATACCCTGGATTCTCAAATGGGATTACTCTATTTCTGAAAATAATACTAGCAATTATGAGTATATTCCCAAGCTTGACAAAACCCTAAAAATCAAATGGTGGGATATCTTCAGTACTGATCCTGCCTCCTTATCCCTGAAACGAATACCCCCGCAAACCAATGTATTAAGCCCACCAGTATATAATACAGTCAGTTTACCCACTTTTTCGGCCTATCTGAAAAAAAATGAAGCAATCACACCCTAATGCTACATTAGAAGAAATAGAGCAAAATCTATTCAAAATATTTGCCCCTGATACTACTGCACCAGCTACATCAGAAGAGAAAGTACAATCTGGCAATCCTTTGCTAGACGATTTTAGCCAGAGACCCGATGAGTAGCTCGGCCCAATATCATCTCATCTAAAGACAAGACGTTTTCGCTGTAAAAATTCGTCTTGTTCCTTACTTTGCATACAGAATACGACAAGCTACAGCAAATATTCCTCTTTAGCTGATTTGACTAAATAAGAGTCATATCATGCACAGTAAAGATTCCTTCTTCAACTATCAGATAAGATCCCACTAGCAAATGCTGCGACAAAAATATTTCCCTTACATAAAGCGACAAACATATGCAACAGTAAAGATTCTCTTGACCGATGTGACTAATTTCGGGTCAAATCACCCGCCTGACGTATCTCCTCCTCCTTCGCTGTTGTTCTCACGTACCGCTCACACAGACCACCTAAGATTCGCCATGTCGCCATCCGTCACCATCACCGACATCCAGCTATCTTCTGCACCTACCACGTACCCCTCTTCAGCAAGAATCTTATCTTCGCATCCCTTCGTCTTCAAGCAAACGAATATCAGCCACTAGAGTTTCCTTCGTCACCAAGCAATCAATCCCAGCCTCATGCTCTCCTCCGACGATCCTCTATAAATACCCATTCTGCCAACAGAAGAAGGCAGACTACATCAAGGAAGCAACAAGCTTTATCAAGAAGCAAGCTCTCATAGTTCTTCATATTCTCTCTGCTCTCTCATATTCTCTCTCTCTTCTCTCTTTTCTTCTCACCTTCTTTCATTCTGTAGACAGTAGGTTAGGCTTTTACCATCATCAACACTTGTACACCATCAAAGTCGGTAACTTCCATATGACTTCTTTTTAGAATGTGTGATTGTAATCTATCTTCTTTACCTTCTTATTATCCTTCTGAGTGGAAGAGATTTGCAAGTCTCTGTATTTGTAATCAGTAAGTTTTGCAATTTAAGTTCGTTTTTACATTCAAAATCTGCGATTATACTCATACTTCTTGGATCATATTTGATATATCTTGGTTCCCTGTTTTAATTATTCTATTTGTTTTCCTCTTCTATGTTACGATTTTACAACAATTATTAGAATATAACTCTGTAATCTTTTCATATTTATTATAAAAGTAATAGGGTAGATCTTGCGGCAAAAATGGCATATATATATATATATATAAAACTTGAAACTATAAAATTTATTTTATGTAAGAAAGGTAACAAAGAAAATTATTGCTATATTATATTTTCAAAATAATTTTTTAGGTAAAGTAACAAAGTCTATGCGTGTCGAGACATGTCGAAATGTTGACACATGAAACCAACCCCTAATCAAGTGTCTAGGTAACACTGCTAGAGAGTAAAGATGCAAACATCTAACTTTTTAGACTTCACTCCTATAAATCCACAAATTCTTTAATCAATAAACTCATCCTTGATTAAAGTCCTAAGTCCTGACCCACCAAGGACCTAGTTCTTAACAGAACTGCCATAAAATTGAGCTCGATCATCCCCTTTGGAAAACATGATTGCACCTCCTTGACCTTGACACAAGGAGCACTATTGCCCAATATATGCAGTCAACTACGAGATTTATAGCCACAATCACTCTCTCATGACGCCCCTAGCCCGGCTCCTTAAATGACTACTAGATTTATATCCATAATAGTTTATTCAGTATAATGAGCTCTATTACAACCACACTCTTACATCCTAAAACTTCTATCTGTCACAACACACCAACAGTAAATTTTCAGCAGACAACGCCTCTAGCGTCTACCTACCCCACCCCAAGATGTATCAGCTGTCCACAAACTAAGCAATCCTATAGGAATGTATTGGAGAAACAAAAGATCACAAGAAAGCCAAGAAGTACTCCAGAGTGGCAACCCAATGAAAATTAGGAAAACTAGGAGCTCTTTAATCTCTCTAACATCAAACATAAGTTGAGAAACAGGAAGCCCATACTCCACCCATTTTCCTAGTGAACTCTTGATCATATTTCCACAGAGAGTTCTGTAGTAGAAATTTAGCAAAAATAGACCAGAAACCCACAAATTAAAATCCTTTTGTCCACCACCTCCTAGAACATGTGGATCCTCTATATTCACAAACCACAAAGAGCACAACTATCTCATGGGCACTATAAATTCCATTCGAACCTAGAACACCAAAAGATCCAACTACCTCATCTACCAATACCCTTAAGTGCCGAAGAAAGCTCTTAGAAAATAGAACATTGCAAACCAGAGCATCTTTCTGAAAGTTGATCATGTTACCCTCACCAAACTCATACCTAATACAACTCTTGACGTAATTATCACTGGACCCTGATAAGTGACTCGACAACGTAACTGAAGTTACCAAATCTCAAGCAAAGTCTGAATTGCATGCTTCACACGAGGAAGATTTGAAAACTTGCATTGCGAGGAAACCCATAATTGCTTATTGTTTGTTCTCTTAAATAGTTAAGGAAGCCCCACAATATCATCCAATTCTAATGCCCGTCCACAAGACATCAACAAGCTAATGATACGATACCGCTTAGCACACATATCATGGAACCAATTCTCAAATTGAATCGTTCAAGGGACAACATCAAAAGTCAAAACCTTTAGAAATGAATGATCACAAAAACAATTGCCCTCAAAATGAAACCTTAAAAAAAGGACAAGAATGAACTCCCATAAAATATTAACTACCAAGAAATGAAAATAATTGATAAAAAAATATCCATGATTTTCACATGCCATTCTCAAACTGCAACTTCCACAATTTTCAGGTTCTCAAATCCTCCCACAATCGAAACTACTAAAAAGCCCTTAATTATCAAAATGTTATTCGTTTTCATCATCACGTGTGATATGTCACAAAATGCAGGTACAAATCTGTCAATAAAAGCAACAATCAACCCAAAAAAAAACACATACATACTTCAAGAATCCAATCAAAACATCCAAAACACTGAGATTCACCTGTTCCCATCATTCATATCTTCAGCTAAAGAATTCGAACTCAAAGAAGCATGGACCTTCTTGTTAGGGGCACGAGAATCAGAGAACATTCGACGGAGAACGGAGAAAGCTGAAAGAGCAGTGAAAGCAAGCCATAGGCGACGAGCACCAAGACCAGGAGGCACAGTCCAAGCTAACCTGAACCTACTCTTTAGGCCCAAAAAGATCAAACCAGTCCACCTTGGCCTCCACGACCAACCGATAACCAGGCCTATCATCACTGCCACCCAAATGGGTACAGAGCATATCAATACGTCAAGAAAGGTCTCCACAATGAGTGGGTTTCTCAGGAATTGAACCGCGTCGCTGTTTAACCAGTCCATGGTGCAGAAAAAGAGGGTTAACAAAATGGAGAAGGATTTCAAGAATTGAGACTAAAAATGGAGGAAATGAAGGAAATGGAGACATGGGTTTTGGAGATCAAGTGGAAATTTGGGTCGGGTCTTAAGGCGCCATGGATATCTGAGAAGAGAGATTGGTCCGCCCGGGAGAGAGATCCAGGGCGCCTGGAACAGAGAGATAAGGGACAAAGAAGGCGGGTTTTACGTAAAAATGGAGAAGAAGAAAAAATCTTTTTTTTTCAGACTTATTTGGCCACCAATGTTTTTCTATTTTCCACGCAAAATGTGGTGAAAGTCTTAAGATCTCAACATTTATAGTGAAACACCTGTGTTTTGGGTGGCATCATTAAAATAATTAATTTCCAAACAGCCCCCTCTTATTTATTTTTATTCTTAGGTAAAATATGATTTCTCAATATTTTTTAAGATGACGATGATATCCTGAGTCATTCCTTCAATGACAAAAACACCTTAGCTCTATAAATACTTTATTTCCAAGTTGGCTCCTCTAAGAGGTAGGCAGCAAGAAACCTATCTCCTTTTCTTAGACAAAACATTATTTAAGCTACAACTAACGTTTTGAAACCGTCTTTGTTGCCTTTTCTTTAATAGATTTTCACTACCGGACTTTTTGTCTCCGAATTGTCAAATTTAGCTTGAAATGAGAAAATGATCTCATGGTCTAGTTGCCATTGTCAAATTTGGCGCCTTCAAATAAAGGATTCACAACCACTATATTCTTTTTCGATGCTGGATCTGGTTTGCACGACATGATTTTTCTTTATAAAGACCTTTGATAGAACGTAATGAAAGAACATAATGTGTATAACTGACTTTAAGTAATCGGTATAAAGTTCGAATTTAATGGCATAGTAAAGCTATAGAAGGATAAAGTCTTAGTACTTCGGGGTGTAAAATGGGAAGTGTTGGGTATTTTGGTCTTTAGTATATCTACACATGTTTGTAAATAAAAGGCGGAGAGTGGAGGAATGGGTTTTATTAATGGTAGGTTCGCTGCGTCACAGCCGTCCCAGCTCTTACGTGCCAACAGCAGCCCAAAGACGACTCATGAGTTGTAACGACCTTTTATTTTTATTTTTATTTTTTAAAAATAAATTAAAAAGAGCTCTGTTATCCTACGATCCTTCCGTATTCATGTGTGTAGAACTTCAAATAATTGTCATTAAATTTGGCATTAATTTATAAAAAAAAATCAAATCCTACACCGATATGATAATTTTTTCAAGATTCGTACCAACTCTAATAATGATCATTTGGGTCTTACACATGTCGGTGGAAAAGGGTCCTATAAGATCATTATTCTTTCTTTTTAGCTGAGGCACATAAGACGAGAGATACGGGCGTTCAAGAGAGATTTTTTAACATGGATGGCAATGGCCCGATTGGCCCGGGCCGACCCATCCCTCACAGCCCGGTCCTAAAGGGCCTGTACCACAAAGTGCGGCTCGAGGGCCGAGGCAGGGGGCGGGGTTATGACAGCACGAGTCTAGTTCACCCAGCCCAACCTTTGTATTTTTATTTGTTTTATTTATTTATTTTTTATTCTATTGGGCTTTGCCGGCCCTTGATAGGCCCAACGTTAGGGCTAGGCTTGGGTCAAGGTGACGTGTAACTTTTTTTGATAAGGATGTAGCCCTATGAAAAAAAAAAAATTATAAAAGAAATATACAATGATTTGTTGGATCGAGGCAAGATATCTAGATTTGAAATTCAGAATTTTTAAACTTGAAACAAAAAATCTTCTATTTCTCCCTCACTGTTTCTTTGTCCCAAAATGTTCTCATCATAAGATCGATTTTGGTATTTGTCATCATTTTTTCTGCCACTTTCTTTCAAAAGTGTTTTTTTTTTTATTTTATAATAATTTGTTATTTTTATTCATAGCTCCTATTAGATTAAATGAAATTTTTGGTATTGATTTTACCATTTTTTATATTTTTCTTTTTGTTTTTAGCTTTTTTTTCTTTACTTTTTTCTGGTAGTTTGACTCGGTACCGGTTAGAACCTTTGGCGATTAGTCAAACCAAAGGACCAGGTAGAATAGCACGGTGTATAAACATTGGCTAGAGGACCAAAATGTATATATGCTCCCCAAGAAAAACAGTAGCTAGGAGTACCTTGGTGACCTTGAATTTTGTGTATGTGACCTACGATACTTATCGACATGCCTAAACAAAAAAAGACACGGTTTTTATGAGTCCATTTAGAAATGAGTCACCTCTTAAATTTCTATTTTTTAGATGGACTAACATGGAAATCATGAATATGAAAATATATGAATTTTAGAAATGGGAAAAGTTTATATAAGATTGCAATCTTAAAATGTAAAACTACGGATGCACCTCAAAAATCCATTGGTAAATGTTGTTTTAATGTTGAAAAACCATCTAATTGATCATTTCGTGTCGAGATGTATGATTATGAAAAAAAAAGATTCTGAGTCTCAAAATTGGTGCATCTTACAACATATTATCTAGACCGTCCATTTTCAAGATTTTCATATGTCTATAGATCTACTTTATTTTAATCATTTTTGGAACTTAAAGTTTTATAATTAGATTTGAAAATAGATTTTGAGATAATCTTTAAAATATCTTACATCAAAATTATATGTTACGATAAAATTTGAAGGTGCGCCTTAAATAGATTGTTTAAGGTTACAACCTTATGGAAACCACACCCTTTAGAAATTAAAAATAATTATTCTATTACGAAAACATTTGGACTGTTAATTTCAATTGTTTTTAGATGGATCACCTATTTGCATCTATTTTTAGAATGGATGCTAATACATCGGGACCATAAATGTAGAAATGCAGTCCCCATATCATAAAACAATTTTCTAAACTAAAAAGCCCTAGAATTAACACTATCCATCTAAGTTTGGATAGTCAAATCTCGGGGGCAAAGGATCTCTATATCGTATTTGTTATTATTGAAACTTACTCATCCGATAAGTTTAGAGCGGATCATTGTCCACAAAATCACCCGATCTAACAGTTAACCGCCCTGTTAGATCGGAACCGGCTAGTGGCCGATTCCAGTTTTGGGCGGTTAGGGTGATTAACCGGTATTTAAAAAAAAAGAAAATTAAAAAAAATATGTATAAATTCTCAAAAATAAAGAATTTGACTTGTAATGTATTTTTAAATATTATTTACATTATGGTAAAAATTAAAGACTGTTTTGGTCATTAATATTCACTTCTATATTTTTCCGTATTTTTTAAATAAATTTAAAATAAAACTTTTCCCTTAATTTTCAACTGAATGTGTTTTGTTTTAATCATTTTTTATATGTTTTTCATATTTTAATAGATTTTTTTTTTTTTTGTATTTTTTGTCAACATTCTTTTCATCACCTTGGACTTACCCAGTTAGAGCCGTTGAAATATGATTCGATTTTACAATCAATAGAATGGATACACATTCGGGAAATCCAAAAGATCTCAATTTCTTTTAGGTGGATTTCTTTTTGAGGGACCAAATGTACAATTTGCTATTGCAATAGCACAATGCACGTGTTAACATTACCCCGGTTTGACTGCAACCCACCTTTGGATTGACATGGCTCAGCGTTCCGAGGCATTGTTGAAGTCCTTTTATCATGAATGAAGGAAAAAGCGTGCAAAAACGCGTACGGTCGCGGTTTCAAACGCCTTTATTTGGAGACTACCCCACCCGCGACCCCTTCTTTTGTTTTCACTTTCCAGAATTGCGCGTGCGACTTCTAACCCTCCACACGAGCAACGCTATTGCTATTTTTAAGATGGATTTTTGTACCATGTTTTTTTTGGTATTTCTTATGTAATGTAATTAAATTTTATTTATTCCTTATTTTATTTGTTGTTATTTGCATTTCAATGTAGTTTAATTTTCAATAAAATTTCTTGAATATAATTTAGCATAATAGAATATTTTGTATTTCAAAATATTTAATTGATAGAAATATTTAATTATGATTAATTCCATTTTTATTCTTCTAATTTTAGAATTAGAATATAAAACTATATATATAAAATGATAGAATGATAAAATAATAAAATATCAAATAAAAGATATTATAAAATCTATTGAAAAGTAAAATACATTCAAATGCAAATAGCAACAAATAAAATTAAAAATAAATAAATAAATTATATTAAATAAATTATATTATATTAGTTGAATAATAAGAATTCAAAAAATAATTATTACTTATATTAAGTCCGATTTTGATAATGTCGGACAGATTAGGAAGTTAAGATGTCTAGACATGTCCTTACTGATAAGAGATAACTGAATACTTCCCGTATTTCCTTCCAGATGTGGGAAATGCCAAATAGGCGGGTAATTTTGGGTAACAAAGGAACGTGAGTTGGGGTGGTTTTGGCATTTTATGTATAGTAAAAATAAATAAAAAAAAATAAAAGAAAAGAAGTAAAGTGGCCCATTTTGTAATGGGAAAGCTTTTTATGTTCCCCTTACAACATAGAAGTTCTATGTTCCCCCTACCATCCAGCCGTTCATTTTTTATCAAGAGAGCCACTCACTGTTTGATCTTAGATCCGACGTCTTAAAGTATTTTATTTTTAGTTTTTTTAATACAATTTTTTTAATATAAAATTTGGTGTGTGTCATCTTCTCATTGGGGTGCACCTATAAAAATTATTAACAATAATTTTTCGATAAAAAATAATGACCAAAATACCCTTTGAAATTTTCAAGGGTACTTTGGTCATTTTATTTTATTGAAAATATTTTTCATTAGTGCAAGTTTAATATAGGAATGGACGTCCAAAATTTGGTATCAAAATAGTTTATAGAAAAAAAATTAAAACTAAAACAATGTAGAGACGTGACATTGTGATTGGGGAAATCTTAGCACTTCATTAAAAAATAGACAGTTGGATAAGGGGAACATAGAACTTCTTTGTTGTAGGGGGACATAGAAAGCTTTTTCTTATGTAATAATGTGTTGAAACCCAGTCCATATTAAAAAAAATTTTAAAAAAGATGCATGGTGTGGGTTCTTATGGCCTAATTTATGCAAAAAAAGTGACCCCTTCTGTAACAAAAGCGTTTAAATCCGGTCCTTATGTAATTTTCCTTTAAAATAAAGTACATCGCAAAAACGTATCGATGAAAGTCATTCTAATGATGGAAAACCCTCAAATTGAACTTCTCCAACTCGAGTTGTAAGGATATAAAAAGAGAAAAAAGATTTCAAGTATTCAAAATAGTCCATTTTGTAACATATTATTTGGATTATCCATTTTCAAAATTTTACTTGTATATATATGTGCTCGATTTACATCTAGAGTCTTTAAATTTAATAATTAGGGATGACAATAGATTTTTAGATCATCCAAAAGGTTTCCGATGCAAGAACTACATATTTTGAGCATAGTTTTGAGGTATTTATTACTTTAATTATTCAAGGTTGATGCCTTACGTAAACCACGCCCTAACATGTATAAGAGAGAGATTTGAGAACAATGGAGAATATGTAGGAAACTTAACACCACCGTAGCTGTAGATGTCATTAAGGGAAGGTTGGTGTGCGTTGTTCTTCCACCCAAATTCTGATGTAAGGTTTCTCATGTAAACCTCACTACACTCATTGTGTGGAAACTGATATCAGATGTTCAATACTACTGCTACACTACCATAAAAAATAATTTATTTCAATGTTCAAACTTCAAAAAAAGGCCTGGACTCAGTACTCGGCAAGACCCCAAGTCCTCATTGTGGCTGAGTGCATACAACTTATAATCCCAAAGTATGGGAACCGGGGGAGTCACCCTATTCCTTGCCAAGCTGAATCTGAGTGGACTTACCCTCATTTTATAGCACCGATCTATTTCCCTTGTCTTGCAAACTCAGTTGCACAACTGCACTTGCGAAGTGCCCTTCTTAGCCAAGCCAATTTCAGAAGATTGGGGAGTGTTGGCATGGAAAATAAGTATTTTTAATTTTTTAAATCTTATACCCAGAAAATTTAACTTTCAAATTTATGAATATATAATTTTGCAGTAAGTAACCAAACAAATATGGGTCTGGGTCATACAATACTTCACCAAACTAATGACGCCTGAGCTAACCATAGTCCTTAAAATTAAGCCCAGTCCTAACTAAACAAAAACCATGAAAGCAAGTCATAATGCATCTCGGCATCATTAGCACGAAAAGAAAAGAGTTCTAACTTTTACAACTAGAAAAGAAAATTTCTTCGTATTACCCATGTGAAGTAAAACAGATGCATACTCAAAAGAAGAAGAATGCAGAACTCTTTCTTCTCAATCAAGCTAGTACCTTTTCACTTCTCTTCTCAATCCTCACAGAAAAACCACCTTCCATCTTCGAGGTGAGACCCAATACATAAACAGCTTTGAAGTTCGAATTTGCGATCCTAATTCTAAACCTCTTGAGCAATGCAACCACAACCGTTTTCATTTGTACAAAGGCCATCTCCTTTCCCATACATATCCTTGGCCCTGCTTGGAACACCGCATATTTGAAACTATCACATGGAACAAACATCCCATTCTCCTTGTCCAACCACCTCTCTGGCTTAAAATCCTCGTAGTCCTTACCCCACAAAGCCTCCATCCTCCCCATAGCATAAGGATGATAACTGACCCTACTCCCCTTCCTCACCTTTGTTCCATCTGGTAAGACATCTTCTCTTGCCGCCTCTTTCGTATCGACTGGAACAGGTGGATAAAGCCTCATGCTTTCATATATTGAAGCGTGAAGATAATTCAAATCCTTAATGTCATCCAAGCCCATATTTATACCATCTTTATGTCCAATTTCTTTAATTATTGCTTCTTCGACATGTGGGTGTCTGGCTAGAAGCCAAAAGAACCATGTTAAGGCAGCGGAGGTAGTGTCCCGCCCTGCTAAGACAAAGCATATCACAATATCTCTGATGATGTCTTCATCGATGCCTGCATTTAGGAACCTTGAGAGTAGATCTTCTACTTCGATGCCTGTTGGTCTTGCCTCTGCTTTCTTTCTTTGAATTAGTTCAATTGCTAGTCCCTTGACTTTATCTATCGATATGCGAAGCTTTCTCTCAGTTCCGATGTCGAATAATCTCTTTAGTTTCCATGACCATGGAGCAAGGGATCGAAACCTCTCAGAACTTAGGGTAGCCGCGGAGTCAAAGGCCTCTGCAAACTCTGACTCGAGAAGAGCGTCCACGTGTAGACAACAGGGGTCCCAACCAAATGCTATGTTGCATATGTTATCAAATGCAAAGCTCTCTAGTACATCTTGAAGGTCTAGGATCATGTTTTCCATGGCTGCCTTCTCTAAGAGAGGAATCAAACGTGTGAAGAGCTCCTCTTCAACCACATGATGGATGAATTTTTTCAAGGATTTGGTGTTGAACCCATGGATAGCAATCTTCCTTTGGAATTTCCAAGGCTCTCCATCAGAATTTACTATGCCTTGGCCTAAGAAATCAGCCATAATTTCCCTACCAAATTGGCCTTTTGGGTAGTTAGGGAACTTAGACTTGAGAATATGCTGCACATTGGCAGGATTTGCAGTAATTATTTGGTGTATGCCTCCTAGTCTCTTTAGGACAATGGTTTGGGTTGGCGAGAGTCTAAGGAGCTCTGTGATCCATTGAGACACTCTATGCCTATTTGCAATAAAGGACAGGGTGCAACCCAAAATTGGGTAGCTTTTTGGGCCTTCAAACACTGCTCCCCTGTTCTTGTCACTATTCCTCCTTTGTTTCTTTTGGTTCATCATGTAAAAACCAAATGATATGAGGTACAAAATTGAACAAAAGAGCAGCTTGTAAGGGAGGAATCCATGATCTTGGTTTAGTATCGATATTAGCATGGTATCAAAAAGAGGAAATTGGCACACTTTCTTTATTTTCTCAGCCTGATCTAAGGCTTGGATTAAAGATACAGTGTAGTTCTAACAAGAAGGGCCTCCATGCAGAGGTGGTAAGGGTCTCAAATGTTACAATGTGTCATCTAGAGTTCCATTCCGAAGCTAATATTTAAAGAAAAAAGATAAAAAAGATTTCAAACTTACAACCAATATTCAGTCGATACAACCAGGGCTGGAAGTTGGTCAGTTAAAAGGCTTGATCACCATTGCAGGCAGACTTGAATCTCTGGCAAATTATGTGAGGTTGGATAAACCAAGAACCCAATTATATGTGCAATGCATTTGCATGTGTAAGAAGCCAAAGGTGGCCATCACTATCATGGTTGCCTAGGAAGTTATGTTAAACATTGGGATTCTCTCTTCCTCCATAAGGAAAAAGTTTATTATATGCCGCTTGGGATCACACTTTAGTCTTTTTCTGTTAGTCTTCACCTGTTCAAAGGATAAGAAGACTGAACTAGAGTGCTTGCTTGCAAAGATATTTTCCCTTTTCTAGTGGGAAGAGACTAATTGGTCCCCAAGGGTCCTAATTGTTCCTTTGGTTCAAGGATTGTTAAAGATCTTAGATAGGGGGCTTTATGAACCTCAAAACTCTCAAATTTTTTTTTTTAACCTCACTCTAGAATTTTCTATTTCTTTTGAACAGAAAAGTAAACTTAGAGCTCAAAGAGTTCACTGGTTCAAGGTTCATAAAATGTCCATAACAGAGCAGGTTGGCTTTTCTATTTCCATTTTATAATGATTACAAGTAATATATAATAATGATAGGAGTAGAGTCGAGGAAGTAGTTAAAACTGATAGTCAAGAAACACCAAAAAGTATGCACTTTCGATATCTTGGATCGATAATCTAGAAAAATGGAGAGAATGAAGACGATGTCACACATAGAATTAGAGCTAGGTAGGCCAAGTGGAGATGTCAAACTGGAGTCTTATGTGATAGCCAAATACTAACGAAGCCAAATAGCAAGTTCTATGGGATAGTTGTGAGACCAGCTTTGCTTTATAGCGTGGAATGTTGGCGATCAAGAAACAACATATCCATAGAGTGATGTAGTTGAGATGATGATGTTGAAATAGATGCATGGCAAGACAAGAAGGGATAAAATTCTAAATGAATACATTCAAGAGAATTTAGAAGTGGCAACAATAGGCGATAAGATAAAGAAAGTAGGCTTAGGTAGGTTGGTCATGTGTATCAAACCCAGTACAACATCTATTAAGAGGTGTGAGTTAGTTCAAGTGGAAGGCTCAAAAAACGTAAAGGATAGGCCCGAAAAGACATAGTTGAAAATATTGAGAAAAGATATGGGGACTTATGGCCTTATTGAATGTATGGCCCTTGACATAACAGAATAACGGATCAGGATTCGAGTAGCTGGCCCCAATTAGTTGGAAAAAGATTTGATGATGATGGTGATGATGAACGATATTGTGACCACGTTAAAATGTACAATTTCGTGTTGGCTAAGATAAAAAAAATTGTCTTAAATTTGATAAGAAAATAAAAAAAGCCTTTTTCTTGCTTCGATCAACTTTGAAACATTGAAAGCCAGCCATAATTTGCTCATCACACAACATACGGAATATGTCAACCCTAGTTTTGGGCCTACTACTGCCCAACACTCTCAGCCATGATCTAGCAATAGGGGAAACGCTAGGAGACTGTAGAAAACCCAAGTGCTAGCATGCATTACTTTTCCAACTACCTAATTTATTTATTTGTTTTGGATAATTCAGCAAGGACACATGTCCCTGGTCGTTAAATAGGGTGTGGGGTTACTACCACTACAACCCCAGCCTTTTTTCCACTACCCAAAATTTGTAACAAAACCAACTTAAACGAAAAGAAGCTATATAAAGCGAACTCGTCCACACAAACTCAAAATAGCTTGCAAAAAAAATGAACAAATTCAGCAATTCTAAGAGAATGACACTTAGTGTTTTAAAATTCAGATTGGTGAGGCGGATTGTTCACCCACAAATCTATGTTGAATTGTTGAATATGCGATCTAGATAGGGTCTGAATCGATCCAAATCAGTGGTCTATAAAATATTTAAAATAAATGAAATAAATAAAAATAAAAATTAAGGGTGGGTTTACTGGGGGTAGGGATTAAAGGGAACCGCAGAAATATTAGACAAATTAAAAAAAAAGAAAGAAAGAGAATTTCATTCCAAATGATAAACATCTCAGTCAATCATGGCGGGTTCGTAGGTAGAATAAATGTCTTCTTTCAACGTCAGTGCTATAAAAAAGAGAAAACTATTCAAATGAATAAGCCCCTGTTTATTGAGAGGAAATTAACTCATAAAGATGGACGTTTTTCCAAAGGGGATCAATAAAATGGTACTCACTTTGATCCCCTTGGCCTTAAACAGAGCATTATAATCATCAAACGAAATGTTGCATTTAGTCAAACTGAAAATGCAAATTAAAGAACAGAGACAAAAAAAAATCAGTGGTAAAGCTAATTTACCAACAAACTTTAAAAGTTCGACAATCATATTTATAGTGTTCTTAAAATTGAAGTCATATTTTTTCAATCCTCACAGGGAAACCACCCTCCATCTTAGCCGTGAGATTAGTTATAAAGACCGGATCAGCGCTTGAATTCGCCATCCGAATCTTGAACCTCTTAAGAACCATGCAAACTATGCCCTTCATTTGCAAAAAGGCCATCTCTTTTCCTAGACAAACCCTTGGCCCAGCTTGAAACACTGGATACTTGAAACTATCAACAGGAACAAACAACCCACTCTCCTTATCTAACCACCTCTCAGGCCTAAACTCTTCAAAATCCTTGCCCCATATGCCTTCCATTCTTCCCATTGCATAAGGATTGTAACTCACTCTAGTCCCTTTAGACACCTTTGTCCCATCAGGCAAGACATCCTCCGTAGCTGCCTCTTTGGAATCATTTGGGACTGGAGGATATAACCTCATGCTCTCGCATAGTGCGGCATGAAGATAGTTCAGTTGCTTCACCTCATCCATCCCAATCTCATTGCTGGACCCGATCTCTTGAATTATTGCTTCTTCGACTTGTGGGTGCCTCTCCAAAAGCCAGAAGAACCATGTCAAGGCAGCTGAAGTAGTGTCTCTACCAGCTAAGATGAAGTTTATCACTATATCAACAATGAATTCTTTGTCCATGCCTGTGTCCATGAACCTAGAGAGCAGATCGTCTACTTCTGAGGTCCCTGATCCCTCACTCTTTTCCATCTTTTTTCTGATCACTTCCTCAGCGAATGACTTAACCTTCTCAATTGAAGCTCTAAGCTCTTTTTCATATCCAGCCCCAAAAAACCTCCTTATTCTCCAACTCCATGGTAGAAAAGATCGAAATCTCTCAGCTGCCAACTGAGTTGCCTTTTCGAAGGCTACCATGAACTCTGAATCAGGAAGAAAACCAGGGTCTAGGCAACATGGGTCCATTCCGAATGAAATTTTGCTAATGTTATCAAAAGCAAACCTCTGTAAGACATCCTGAAGGTCTAAGACCTTCCCTTCAATGGCCGCCTTGTCCAAGAGAGGGATCAAACGAGTGCAAAGCTCCTGCCGAACCACTTGGTGAATGAACTTTCTTAAGGATCTGGTGTTGAACTCATGGCTAGCAACCTTCCTCTGTATCTTCCACAGGTCTCCATCAGAGTTGAAGATGCCCTGGCCTAAGAAGTCCTCCATTAAGTTGGTAGTGAAATGTCCCTTTGGGTAGTTTGGAAAGTTGGTCTTCAGGATGTATTCGACATTATCAGGATTGGCAGTGACCACCAAGTTGCCTCCTAGACTCTTGAGGACTATGGTTTGTGTTGGAGAGAGCTTGATGAGGTCTGTAACCCATTGAGAGAACCTGTGCGAGTTGGCCATGACAGCTAAGGCGGAACCCAGAATTGGATAGCTTTTGGGGCCATTGAAAACTGAGGTTCCATTCTTTTTGTGTCTCTTCTCTTGGGTGGTGATGTAAAATCTCCATGAAAGAAAGCAAAAAAAGATGGAGAGAGCCACCTTGAATAGGAGGAACCCATGTTCTTCATCCATTTCTTCAAGTACTGAGCAACAAACAATTGGCAATTCTTGAGAGAGAAAGATAGAGAGAGAGAGATTTGTAACACAGGGAGAGATGGGACTAAAGCATAATGGGATGAGGCAACTAGCGAGAGAGAGGATTTCTACACAGAGAAATGGGGGTTGGGGTTTTAAATAGGATTTGATGACGTTCTCAAGTCTCTCTCCAAGGCCGTGGTCAAGAAACTACTTGGAGTACAAGGAAGGGGATTGAATATGTTAATGGAGTGAGTTGAAAAGTAAATCAGAGGTTGTAATCGTCATTGCCCACGATGCTATGCATCCAAACAAAGTAGAAGGTAGTAAAGCTCCAGGAAGGAGCGCAGTGAATAGGCACCCCCAGGAACAGAAAAAAGACAAATTAACATGATGCGGCGTCACATTCTCAATTTCACGAGTTTTCTCTGATCACCCATTCAAACCTAATCCAAAACTCATTTGAACCATAAATTACATAGCCGCTGTCTCATGGAAGAATTATGATGCCTCAAAATCAAGGTTTGGAAAACGGACTGGAGATTTGGATTGTCTATCTAGAAAATCAGGTTGGATTCGTGGATCGGCCATCGGAATTGGAGAATCAATCAGTTTCGGCCACAAAAAGAAAATAAAAAATAAAAAATCATTAAAAAAATTTAAAAATCTAGTTTTTAAGGTTTACAAAAAAAACAATAGGACAATTGCATTATAAATTTTCGTTATTTTACCAAAAATACAAAAATAATGAAAACATGTTTCATGTTTGAGTGTTTGTTGAACGTTATATTTATTTCATTAAACTGCACTATAACTCGTACTTTTTATTTTTGTGATCTCATAAAGATAGGGGATCTTGCTTACCCATTTCATATTTTTTCCTTTCCTTGAAAATTAATCTATTGAATTAACTATTTATTTATTAATATTTTATTAATATTTGATTTCTCTAGAGGTGAAATATTTAATTTATCTCTCTAGAAGTGTCATATGTATTTTATGTTTTATTAAAGACCAAAAAACAAAGTTCTTATGAACGGCGAGAGACATTGGACCATTTAAAGGGTTTTGGGTTGTTAAAATAAGATCCACAAACCCAATATCTCTCACCCTTAATAAAAAAAAAACAAAGTTCATATTAAAGGTGAGCGATGGTGGGTCATTTAAACCAATTGGCATTTGTTGCATCGAAATTTTTACCTAAAAAAGAAGAAGAAGTTTGCCCCATTAAAGATGAATAAGGGAGAGCCAAAGATAAATAAGGAAGAGCCAAAGGGAGATACAAAAGGCTTAATACCAAATCGCAAATATAGCCAAGAAAAGGGACCCAAATGACATTATAAATAAATGTGGTTTGTTTTACAGAAGGGATGGGTTGTTGGGTTTGGTGATAGCTAAATCCCATACCCCATATTTTCTTCTAGAAGAAGGGTATTATTGTAAAAAAAAAAAGGAGATTTTTTGAGAAACAAGAAATATTTTTTTTTCTAAAAGGAGGGTATTATTGTAAAAAAAAATAATTTTTTTTGAAAAACAAAATAGACTTTTTTGAAAAGTAAAAAAGTGAAATCTATGTGAAAGAATCAAAGAAGACATAATACATATCCTAATATGGAGATGGGTCTTCAAGAGAGATCGATATGGTCTATGAGAGAGAGAGAGGCGGCATTCTCATGAGTTTTAGATTTGTTAACTTTCAGTTTTAGAGAGAGAGTCTCTCGGTTACTCTCAATGTTATCTTTCTCGTAGTGTATTTTTTATTGTGATAGTGAATTTCTAGTTGTCGAGGCGAGTAAATCATGTAAATCGTATGTTGTTGTGATATACTTTTTATGTTTGTTTTATTTCTCGCACTCGATTTATAGTTGTATTCATCTATTTTGCATTTGGCCAATTGAGTACACAATCTTGGCTGGGATCTCGATATTTAGGATTTCTGGTTCCGCAAGCTAAAAGGATCCCGATAACCCTACAATTGATATCAGAGCATAAGGTGTGTACGAAAGGCTAAGGCTTGCTTTAAAAAAATGATGAATGGTGGAGTTTGATGGATACATGGTTTTAGGTGGAGAAATATTGAGGCAAAGTGTTTGTGAAAATTCCACAATGAAAGCAAGTGAGAAAAAATTAAAAAATCTATTCAATGAAGGTGGCTAAGGCAATTGTGGTGATTTTGCTATCAAGGTGGAGATTGTAATGTTTGGTAATAAATAAATCACCATACCCATATTTTCGTTTAGAAGATCAAAGGTATTATTGTAAAAAGAAAAAAGACTTTCTTGATAAGCAAGAAAGTGAAATCTATATAAAAGAATCAAAGACGACATAATACCCATCTTTTTAAGAGTCACACCTTTGGGGGTTATGAAAATAGATCTCATATAGAGATGGGTCTCCAAAAGTGAGACATGACTTTTGAGAGAGAGAGAGATAGTATTTCTGTGAGTTTTAGATTAATTAACTCACTTCTAAAGAGAGAAAGTCTCTTGGTTGCTCTCAATGTTATCTTTCTAATAGCGGTATTGTAGTGGGAAAAAAGATGCTCGATCAAAAGATCGAGTTTAGAAGGGAAGATCGGTAATAGTCTTTTTACCGATGTTTAGAGATAGATATTATCTCTTGTAATCCAAAATTGTATTATTCATTGTGATAGTGAATTTCCAATTGCTAAAACCGTGGATGTAGCCCTACGAAATGAAATACGTAAATCGTATGTTGTGGTGTATTTTTTATGTTTGCTTTATTTCTTTTCTTTTTTTTTTATACAAATGTTTGTTTTATTTCTCGCACTCGATTTATAGTTATATTCACCTACTTCGCATTTGACTAATTGAGTACACGATCTTGGGTGGGATCCCGATATTTGAGATTCCCGGTTCGGCAAGCTAAAGGGTTCTTGAGATCCCTACATGGGTAAGGGTATCTCACGATGTGGTGGGGCCAAGTAAATAAAATGTTTGAAAATTAAAAATTGAAATCAAAATAAATAAGATATGAACCAGCCGGTTCATTTGTATGTGAACTCGGCAGTTCCACGTCCCCATATATTAAAGAAATAAATTAAAATGGTCCCCACTTGATTTCCAGTTAGAACCAGACAATTCCAATACAGATAGCTCTTCTCGTTTGCTCAAATCTCTCTCTCTCTCTCTGATAAGCATGCAATTGCGTGTGGTCAATGTGAACACGAGACTTTTAAAATGAAATGATGTATGTGAGACATTCCTGTATTTTCTCAGGTTGGATGACGTTTTGGCGCCATCATCCTCACCTCATCGCTTCAATGGTGAGTCTTCCATCCAATTTTCGCGATAATTGTTAGAATGATCATATAATCTTGTCCACCATTATCATACGAAAATTATAATATTAAATAGTTTATTTTAAACTCCTTTTGCCACGTAATTGTTCATAGTTCATCATATGATGATACGCACTACCTTTAGAGCTGCAAATGAATGGGATGACAATGCAGGGATCTAAGAATTGTTTTGATAGGGTGAAGTAACACATCTAAACTATACCATTTCAAAAAAATGTTGTTTTCTTTTTTCTTAAAGAGGATATAACACATTATAGGGCCAAGTCTCCAACGCTGAGTCCCAATTTGCTTTCTACCGAAACACCTCTCGTTTCCTGCAGGAATAAACAGAAAGTTTTTATGCTTGCGCGGGACAAAAATGTGATTTTCTCCCTCAAGCAAAATCCTACATAGGATTACTTTTAGGCCTCCAAATGTCAAGGATGTGATCTAATCACCTTGGCAATTAGAGAGAGGGAGATGTTCCTTGGTAATTAGAGAGAGGGAGACGTTCCGGACAACACAGAAATATCCACAATTTATTTTTACATAAGGATATTTTGCAGAAATTGAGATAATTTGTATGTACAGAGAAAGTAGGCTACATCCTTTTTCTGATAATTTGGGAAACACAAATGTAAATCTAAGAATTGAACTCATAAGACAAATATAAAGTTTCGATCCCCAAATAATATGCACAATATAGACTAGGGTCAGTTACCTGAAATCATATACTTGTTTGGGACACAGGGGCCACGTGCTCTTGAGATTCCAAACCAGGAAATTGGCCAATGTCGTGCCCATCAATGGGTCGGAACTCGCTATGTAATCCAATGGCAAACTCATCCGGCGGTGCGCCCCCACTTACCACATAATCCGCTATCTGCAAACGAGAGCAACAAAAATCATAACCTTTTGGCACACTGTAGCTCCATTTGCTCATGCTAAAAATCATGAGATTGGCCAAAAAATTAAAAATAGATATCATTTTGCCTTAAAAGAATATTACATATGAAGTGTATAAGGAAAATATATAGTCATAGAAACTTAATTATAAGCCTTACTCATCACCTTCTCTCTTTTTTTAATCAAAATCCATCACCGTTTTTTTCTCCCTCTTATTTATAATCCTTCAATTTTTTTCTTTTTGAAGTGCATTTTTTTAAAACTTTTTTGATAAGCTCTTGAGAAGAATAAAAACCTTGAAAATCTCCTAATAAATCGCCTCAGGAGAACAATACCGATCAGAATGATAGCGCAAAGTTCTAGTATGAAAAGACTGCAACACGCTCTCTATATCTGGTTAATGAAACAATACATAAATAACCCATTCTTTTAAAGCTTAGGATCAAACACTAACTAATACATGCATTCACACCCCGTTTTTATCTCTCCTCTAAATACTCAAAATGTCTTTTTAATTAATTGAATTAAAAATATAATGTTTTGTAAGAAATGAAAAAGATATTAATTACAAGAACATTTCAATGTCCATAGAAACTCGCTCAACGTTTTTTGCCATAGAAACTCCCTCAACAAAAGTTGAGCAACATTCCCATGAATTCATTATTGTTCCCACCAGCAGTGAAAATCTAGGAATAATTTCATGAAATTTTATGATAGTTTCTCTCTCCAAAAATTTTGAAAAAATTTCTCTCTAAAAATTCAGCTAGTTTCTCCCTCTAAAATATGATATCGTATCTATCTTTAAAATTTTAAGATACTTTTTTATCTAAAACTTAAAATTTGACATAGTTTCTCCCTCAAAAAAATTTGAGATAATTTATCTCTAAATATTTTCAGGTAGTTTCTCTATCTAAAATTTGATATAATTTCTCTCCTTAAAATTTTAACATACTTTCTCTCTCTAAAACTTGAAATTTGACATAGTTTCTCTCTCTAAAAATTTTGAGATAATTTCTCCTTCTAAAATTTGATATAATTTTTTTCTCTAAAATTTTAAGATACTTTCTCTCGAAAACTTAAAATTTGAGATAGTTTCTCTTTAATTTATGGGGATGCTTTGGCAGAATTAATAGTATTTAATAAAGTGGGCAGCTCTAGTGTGTGAAAATTGTATTATCATCAGGTGTATTATATCGTATTCTCCCACTTATGCTTACACAAAGTCATATTTTGGATAAGCCAATTTTTTCTTTGACTTTGCGTACTCATTTTTTGGCCCTATTTCTTGCTTGCAGAAAACGCAATTGTATCCAAAAAGTTGCCAAACATGTTTTTGTGCAAAATACCTTGGGTATACAAAACATGACTTTGGATACCTAAGGGTCCAAACGACCCATAAATACTTGCTATCAAATATGCAAATAACATACGTACCACAGGAAAAGGAAACGAAACGATTCATTGTATCGCTTACATGATGTGCTAGTGCCATGCCACTCAAAGCTGCAGCCTCTAAACTTGATCCAAGTAGCCAGTCACCACATATTCCTGCTCTTCCTTGAGGGTCAAATATGCATGGGATTCCTGGACTATTTGTTGGAAGAGCTGCACCCCTGCAAATTTCAAGGACATGTGGAAGCTCCTCAAAGATTACCTGTTAAAAAAAACTCTCTTATCCCTCTCTCTCTCTCTC